TCTTACTTGCTATTATTCCATCTGCACACACTCTCCACTCGAAAACCATTGGTTGCGTGTTGGGCTACAGGTTAAAGAAATAAACCTCAACAAACATAATATAATACACTTTTGCGTGTCACATATTTTTTTTGTCATAAAAAGTGTGATTTCTTGTAATGGCAAGACATTTGGATTATCCATTGTAGGAGGAATGCAAACAAGGCAACCCACAACTTGGCTAGAGAGGCCCTTCTTAAGCCAGATGGTGTAGTGTTTTATAATTGTACCCCAAGTTGTATTGTGAATCAACTAGCTAAGGATAGTATGGCTTAATACTATAGGGAGAACTCCTGAGGTTTTTCCATAAATCTTACCGAAATATAATTAGTTAATAGACAAAAATGTTACTATAGTGACTATGTAAGTCACCACAGTGATAGCGTTCAACACAATCATGGTAACTAAAGTTGATGCGGTAATGACTAAGTCATATTTTTGTCCATTACTTTTATTTTAATCATATACTACCTCCGTCCCAAAAAGGTTGACCAATTTGGCTTTTCTTGATCCATGGTGTTAAAGTTTAGACAATGATTTTAGGTATTGTATTTATGTCTAATTTATAAATTTTATACTTTTATGAAAGTTTTTTTAAATAAAGAATATGCTCATATTATTTTCATATCTCAAATAATTTTATATGAAAAAATATCATTGGTCAAAGTTGATCACCTTTGATCAAGAAAAGCCAATTTGACAAATCTTTTTGAGAAGGAAGGAACACGTATTTGTCATTATTTTTCTACTTATATACGTAGTATAAGGAAATTGCCATTTTGATCTCTCTTTTCTACTACTTCGTCCCAAAAGATTTTGTCATTTTCAAAACTTTGACCGCTTATAACTTTTTGTTGAAAATTATTTATGATATAAAAATTATATGAAAATGTTTTTTTGTTAAAAGTACTTTTATAAAAGTACAAAACTTATAATTTCCATAAGATTATGCGGAGTACTTATTAAAATAAGAGTTCAAATTTTTTGAAAAGACCAAAGTTTTTTGGGACTGAGTTTTATACCCGGAAAGGAAATTCCAGATTTACAGGTAGTAAGAAGCTGTTCTCTTCGCCTGATCTGAATGTTTCTGATCTGAATTTTTTAAGTTCTGATCTGATCTGATCTGATCTGAATTTTTCTGATCTGATCTGATCTGAATCTTTCTGATCTGATCTGATCTGATCTGAATCTTTCTGATCTGATCTGATCTGATCTGAATGTTTCTGATCTGGTCTGATCTGATCTGAATGTTTCTGATCTGATCTGATCTGAATCTTTCTGATCTGATCTGATTCGAATATTTCTATGATTATAATTATAATTATAATTATAATTATATAATTATAATTATAATTACAATTATTATAATTGCAATTACAAATATAATTTAAAAAAAATTATAATTATAATTGTAATTATAATTACAATATTTATCTCTATAATTGTAACTATAGTTATCAATATTATTATAATTACTCTGTAAAATAATTACAATAGTAATAATAATAATAATAATAATTATTATAATAAAAATAATAATTATAATCATAAATTATAGTTATAATATAATTATAAGTATAATTATAATTATTATAATTATAATTAATAATAATTATAATTATATTAACATTAATTATAATATTATAATATAATAATAGTAATATAAATACAATTAATATTATTATAACGATATTATTATATTAATATTTCTATTACAATATAATAATAATAATATGATTATTATTATAATTAGTATTATATTATTATAATATTATATTATAATTATAATTATAATCATAATTATAATTATGATTGTAATTATAATTATAATTATTATAATTATAATTAATTAAAATTATAAATATATTTAATTATAGATATAATTATAATAATTACAATTGATTATACTTATAATTATAAGAATTATAATTGTAATTATAATTATAATTACATATAATTATAATATAATATTATAATAATATTAATCATATTATTATTATTATAATGTTGTAATAATAATAGTCTTCTTAACAATTGCATTTATATTACTATTATTATATTAAAATATTATAACTATTATTAATATCTTTTTTATCATATTATTATTAATATTATTAATAATAATTATATAATAATAATCATAATAGTAATAACAACATTAATAATAATAATTAATATTTAATATAATAATAAAAGTGATAAATCATGTTTGAACTTTTCTGATCTGATCTGATCTGAATGCTTCTGATCTGGTCTGATCTGATATGAATCTTTCTGATCTGATCTGAATCTTTCTGATCTGATCTGAATCTTTCTGATCTGATCTGAATCTTTCTGATCTGATCTGATCTGATCTGAATTTTTCTGATCTGATCTGATCTGATTTGAATTTTTCTGATCTGATCTGATCTGATCTGAATAAAATAAGAACAAGCCATAAGTAATAAGAATACAACAATTCCTTTTGTACACGTTTTTGTACCCATCAGTACACGCATGTGTCTGTGAGAGTTTTTTTTTGTCTGTGAAGTGCGGTCCATAGACAAAAGCTGGTTTGTTTTGTCTGTGAAATTTTCCACAGACAAAACAAGTGAACTTATGTCTGTGGACCGCGCTTCACAGACAAAAAAAAACTCTCACAGACACATGCGTGTACTGATGGGTACAAAAACGTGTACACCAAGAATGGTTGATAAGAATAAGAGGAACACAACAGCACCTAAATCCCATTAAGAAGCTGTTCTCTTCGCCTGATCTGAATGTTTCTGATCTGAATTTTTTAAGTTCTGATCTGATCTGATCTGAATTTTTCTGATCTGATCTGATCTGATCTGAATCTTTCTGATCTGATCTGATCTGATCTGAATCTTTCTGATCTGATCTGATCTGATCTGAATCTATTTTTAATTATAATTACTTATATAATTATAATTGTAATTATAATTACAATATTTATCTCTATAATTGTAACTATAGTTATCAATATTATTATAATTACTCCGTAAAATAATTACAATAGTAACAATAATAATAATAATATTAATAATTATAATAAAAATAATAATTTTAATCATAAATTATAACTATAATATAATTATAAGTATATTTATAATTAATAATAATTATAATTATATTAACATTAATTATAATATTATAATATTATAATAGTAATATAAATACAATTAATATTATTATAAGGATATTATTATATTAATATTATTATTACAATAACATAATAATAATAATAATAATATTAATATTATAATTAGTATTATATTATTATAATATTATATTATAATTATAATTATAATCATAATTATAATTACATCATAATTATAATTATTATAATTATAATTAATTACAATTATAATTATAATTAATTATAGATATAATTATAATAATTACAATTGATATACTTATAATTATAAGAATTATAATTGTAAGTATAATTATAACTACATATAATTATAATATAATATTATAATAATATTAATCATATTATTATTATTAAAATATTGTAATAATAATAATGGTTTTCTTAATAATTGCATTTATATTACTATTATTATATTAAAATATTATAACTATATTAATATCTTATTTTTTATCATATTATTATTAATATTATTAATAATAATTATATAATAATAATCATAATAGTAATAACAATATTAATAATAATAATTAATATAATAATAAAAGTGATAAATCATGTTTGAACTTTTCTGATCTGATCTGATCTGAATGTTTCTGATCTGGTCTGATCTGATCTGAATCTTTCTGATCTGATCTGAATCTTTCTGATCTGATCTGATCTGATCTGAATTTTTCTGATCTGATCTGATCTGATCTGAATTTTTCTGAGAAAGAATGGCACACATATGACCTGGGCACTTTGAAGAGACCAAAATACGGCTCCTTTTGCTTTTCCCAAAAATGTGATCTAAAAACTCTGTCCGCATAGCAGAACCACAACCCCTTCTCCTCCTGCGCACAAACCCCCTGGACGGAAAAGGCTTTACGCACAGAGCAACGCATCCTTCTCTCCTGTGAACTCAATATCCTCTGCATCTCATCCCTCTCTCTTGTGAGCTCTGTTGCCGCCTTGGACAAAGTCGCCGCCTGTGAGCCCTGCTGCCGCCGTGGATGAAGCTGGCCACCGCCTCGAGCTCTGCTGCTGCTATGTACGAAGCCACCGCCTCGAGATCTGCTACCGCCATGGACGAAGCCACCGCCTCGATCTCTGCTTCAGCCATTGACGAAGCTACCGCCTCAAGCTCTGCTACCGACGAAGCCACCGCCTCGAGCTCTGCTGCCGCCCATCCCGTCGCCTCACCTCCGCTCATATTTTCTTCTCCTTTCTTCTCAATCGGTCGGATCTCTATCGGATCTAAAGGATTGTGGCCGCTAGACTTTCAGATCTGTCCGAACTGGATCTGGTTAGGGTTGACCATGGTTGAGCTGTGGTGTGGCAGTAGTTGGCAGGTAGAAGGGGTCGGCTTCGTCCACGGCGGCAGCAGAGCTGTAGCCGGAAAATTTTCCGACGATCATAGTGACAGGGCGGTGGTAGCGGCCGGAGTAACTTTTGACGGGTGGCGTCACTGAAAAATCAGTCACTAGGCAGTGACAACGTCAATATTGTGTCACTATGGTCGTTGTCACTATGGTCGGCGGCGGTCTCTGGCGGCGGCGGCGGTCACTGGTGGGAGGTGGTGGCAAGGAGGGTGGATGTCACTGTGTCTCGTGTCACTGTGTCTCGTGTCACTGTGTCTCGTGTCACTGTAGCGTGTCACTGTAGCAGTGTGTATATAAGCAAGTTTGTCATTTATTAGTCACATTTCAGGAATTTTTAAAAGAGGTCACTTTTTTGCCCATTGTCCTTTTATTAATAATATTCAAGACAAAAACCCTTTTTCTGATCTGATCTGATCTGATCTGAATTTTTCTGATCTGATCTGAATAAAATAAGAATAAGTAATAAGTAACTAGATATGTAATATCTGTCGAGTAATATCTGTAATAAAATCTGATCTGAATGTCCCTCCCTTCTGTGTGACATTCTTCTATTCGAGAACTCACTGTACTTCATGTCCAGGTATTTCATTTTCTATGTTCATCTTCAGTCAAAACGACTGAACCTCATAACACATTCTTAAACAAATGTGATGTCTTCTTTCGATTAACTAGATATGTAATACAATTATTAGATGTTTTTTTTTGTCATCATAAATTAATTCTTAGATCTATGGTGAAAAATCTCAATCTAAACGACTCTACATATCTTTTATTTTCCTTGCGTTTTGGAATATATGTTTGGAATATTACTCTGGAATTTCATGTTTGAGATAAGTATTTGCGTGGCATTTTTTTTCTTTCATTTTTGCGATCCTACATGCTTTGTATTTAGAATAGACTGATAGCCTGTCTCTGAGTTTGTGTGTATATATCTGTGTATTTCTAGTTCTTAAGATTTGGAGTCGGATCTACTTTAAATACCTGTATTTAAAGTTTAACTATAACATTAGAGATCTGCATTTTGTTATCTTTTTGGTATTGATTAGGCTAAAGAAAATTTCAAGCAGAGATGTTGGATTGCTGGTGTTGAAAAGTGAACATCTCGAAGTTCAATATAGATCACAAGCAAGATCTATTTTCACCCCTCCATTATTTGGCTGGAATTTGTAAAGAACTTAATTTTGTTTTCAGGCACAGAGTCATAACACAATAAGTGATGTAGTTAGAATTTTGCATCAAGTGTTTTTCAGGTCAGCAAATAATTTTATGAGCAAAGTGGACAACTCCCATGCCCTATACTACGTTAAAGCACGTTATAAAGATTTGAGAGACTTTATCAATCTGTATGTCTACTTTGTTGTTCGAGTGTATATTTATCTATATTTGCTACTGTTTCTTCTGTCAGCTTTCACCTGGAAAATTGGCAAAGTAAACTGCATTGCATATTTGCATTATAGTATATTGAAAGAAGGAATCAGCAGCACCTGATATGGCTGATGGTGAACAACTCAAGAAGTATGGGGTCCCAATTTATGGGGCTGCATGGGTCCCATCCGGCGCCATCACATATGCTCCTGAGCCGAAGCCGGAGGAAGATAGAGATAGTATGGTCCCCGCTGACAAGTTGCCTTCGCTTGCTGCTGACAACTATATTGTCCTTGCTGGAGGGGGTGGTGAAGGGCGTAGCGGCATCCCAAATGCTATCCTCCTTGTTCAATCTAACCCCGACTCCCATATCCTATCCAACCAACCAGTGAGTGCTATTTCTTTGCCATTGTCAATATTATTTCTGTTTTTTTGTTGTAGAACTAATTTCTTCCTATGCATGCTCTTCATTCACATACATATGTTCTCTACTCATTCACGTACACAAATATATGTATACTGAAAACTTGTGTGCTTATGATATAAATAAACCAGAGGAAATAAATTAAGAGAAGAACTAGATCTGATGTGACTCATGTTTCTTCTTATTTTAGTATTGAAATATTCATATTCTCAAATTATGCTAATTAATAAACTGCAACGTCCATCACACGGAAAAGTTATCTGATAAATGTGTAAATCCATAAAATCTTCAAAATTTGCATTTTATATGAATATATCAAGGCAGAACTGCAGAAGAGGTGCGTATATTTTGTTTTTATTGATTATTTCTTTCATCAAATCAAAAATTCAAAGATAAAGACTCAGTTGGATATGTTTTTTCTTTGACTTCCTGAAATACCTTGTTTACTCTAGAGTACAGTGTTTGACACTATTGGTACTGTCTAACAAACACTATTGGTACTTTTTAACACTGTTTACTAGACAATCATTAATATTACTTAAAGGTAATAGAGCAAAAAATTAATAGGAATTTGCTTACCAAATAAGTAAAGAGGACTTTATTCAGGGACATCCCAAAAAGAAAAGTTGGAAGCTTTATTAAGGCAGTGACAGTATGATTTTCCATAAGATCGCTCGTGTTCTTATGATGATAATTTGAAATGAAAAATAGCAAGACTAATTAATCATTTAATGAAAGTTATGAGTTTTCTGCTGTCATGAAAAAGTAGTTAGAAGAAATACTTGAAAGTGTTGGCTTCTTGACCCTATTCGGAGATATACTTAAACAAGTCTTGACAAGCTATGATGCACCGACATTTTGATATGCTGACGTATAAGCATATCCGATACATATACGATCTTGATACTCACTGATACACATACTCTATGTGTTGGGCCTGTATCCATAATTTTATGAAAGTACTGGAGTACTGGACCAATTAATAAAAAGAAAAACTTCCACCAGTATCCATAGACTGATATGCAAATTCAAGTTAAGGTTTCTTGTTTCTCATTCACCGCAATGTAGACTGTAGAGTCGAACTTGAAATGGTCAACCATTCAATTGACGAGTCAAACTTTGAATCGGTCAATTGGTATTGCTAAAGGACATGAATGCAAATGAAAATAATGGAAATAAGATAGATGTCGAGTTTGATGTTATTGAACTTTTAAAATTTTTAAGTACAATTAGTTTATTTTAAACCCTGTGTTGTAAGCTTGTAACTCAAGACTTTGTATTTATATCATATTTATCCGCTGTTGCTACTATTGGTAATTTACTTATGAACCCTTAAATTACTTTTTACTTATTTTTTGCAAATTAGCTGAATTTTTTATTGTTATTTGCAAATATAGCCCTGTTCAACATAGTTGACAAGTACAACATAGTGGGCCTTACTCCTCGTATCCAAATATTCGTATCCATGCAACATTGCTGACTAGTCATCCTTCATTTTCTGCATGAGGTTGGACTTTGATGTTTAAATATATCAACTGAATTTCCTTTAAGGTGGCAAGGCTTGGAACTGGTACTGATGTGCCTTACAGGATGGCGGTCCACCCTGGAGGAGAAGGTCTTATTTGTTCTTTACCTAAAAGTTGCAGGTAAACTTCCAGTATAGTGTATGACCTATCATTTACTTGTTTCTAAAAAATCACTGTTAGAGAATGAGGCAAAAATACTACCAACCACTGTTATATACTCCCTCCTTCCAATTTTGGTTGTCCTACTTTCCTTTTTGGGTTGTCCCAAAATGAATGTCTTGTTTCCCCTTTTGGCAAGAAATATGTGGTTCTTATCATTTCACTTTATTCTACTCAAATCTCAACCACAACTTTTACTTTACTTTATTAATAATCGTGCCAAATTGAAAGTGGACAACCAATATGGGACAGAGGTAGTATCAATTACTTATGATGTACTCTGTATATTTTTTTCTCTGATATCATATATCGGTTCATGTTAGCCAACCCCAAGCTCTTTTCGGAATAAGGCTTGTATGTAGTTGTTGTTGTTGTTGGAGAAAGGGGGGAAATAAGAGAGGAGAGTTGTATCTAGTATTCTAGATTTCTAGTTCATGCATAACATTTTAGAATATAAAATATTGCAGTCTTTTTATAATTTTCCCTCTTTCCCACAGTTAAGTTTCTAGTTGACTTCACGCTTTTAAGGCAAAATAACTTTTTTTATTAACTTTCCAAGTATGCCCTTCCTCAAAAGTACGATAGAGAAAATTAATAATTAGGGGGTGTTTGGAACTGCTTCTGCTTCTCTTTTAAAGCAGAAGCAGAATCAGAATAAGTTTTCAGAAGCTGGTCCCCCCAGCTTCTAAACATACTGATTCTAGGAGTAAATTAGACCAATTTCACCCAAACACTCCAATTTCTGCACTTTCACCCAAACACTCCAATTTCTGCTTCTGCTCCATGAAGGAGTTTTAAGAATCAGATCCAAACACCCCCTTAATGATGTACTTATCCCTCAAATACTACCAAAAAGAGTAGGAACATGATTTTGGGACATCTCAAAAAGGAAAGTGAGAAGGTAATTGTGAGATGGAGGGTGTATACAGTTAAGCACAGATAGTATACTGTTTTTTTTACTCTGTGCACTTTTTAACTTCCAAAATAAATCCACTTTAATCACGAATATTAAAATCAGGTGGTTTGAGTGGGATGCGAGCAATATCATAGATGAGGGTGCTTTGGCTCTTAAGTCATCTGACAGAGTTCTCAAGCATTTGGAAGACATTGAGATGCAATTAGCACTTACATTTAACAATGAGGGTTCCCTACTTGCTGTTGGTGGCGAGGTAGATGTCTTCTTTTCTACTGCTCACATTTTTAAGTTCCTGGCTTACAACATTTGTAATTATTATTTTCTTTTTGTATAGTAGCCTTTGGTAAGCTATTTAAGTTTTTAAAAGTATGTTTACTCATATATAGAAGGCTTAAATACGCTTTTAGTCCCTTCAAATATGACACTTTGTTTTAAGGCCCTGCAATTTTTTTTTTTTTGTTTTTCATCCCTGTAATATGCACTATTTTGGTTTTAGTCCATCTCTAATTCTGAAACCAATCTTATTAGAAAAAAAGTTATTGTTAGTTGCATAAATCTACTAGAAATATTTAAATTTGTCCTTTTATAATTTTTTTGAGGCTAAAATGAGAATTAAAACAATGCCAAGCTAAGTATTCACATTTTAAAAATAAAATGAAATACTTTTTGAATAACATGACAGAGAATTAGAAGAAATCTATTAGTCGGGGTTATTTTGAGTTCAAGCGGAGATTGTTATCATCAGTGATGGACTAAAAACAAACCAACATAAATTGTAGGGACAATAAACAAAAAAAAAATTGCGGGGATGTAAAAAAATGTACTATGTAGAATAGGGGTACTTGCCTATTTCTCTTTTTTTAAGTCCTTTCCCTTTTTGTTATATTAAAATGCAGCGAGAAGCATTTTAGTAAAACAAAAACACTGTTCTTTATTATCACTTCTTTATGCAGAACAGGATGGCAAGCTTAGAGTTTTCAAATGGCCAAGTATGGAGATTATTATTGATGAGCCCAAGGATCGTTCTTCTGTAAAAGATTTAGATTTCAGGTTTGTAGTGATTACTTTATTTTTTAATCATTAACGTCACACTATCAATACCCTTAAAACTTCAGCTTCAATCTAGGATTTTGATTGGGTTGATTTGATCATATCTGCAGCCCTGATGGAAAATTTCTTGTATCTCTGGGAAGTGGCTGTTGTAGGGTCTGGGATGTCTCAACATTAACATTGGTGGCCTCTTTACAGAAGAAAAATGTATGGCCTAAGTTTCCGAGTCACTCTTTGACGTTCAATAACTGGTCATGTTTTTTATTGTTGAAGCCGATGTCTTTAAAATGAATATGTTGGATGCCAACATTGAATATGTTGGATGTCTGGCACTTTGCTGTTGATATCATAAGTTTACTTCTTGTGTCGTTTATTTCACATAAAACTTGACCTGATGAAAAGTCGGTCAAAATGCGGCACTTTATATTTCTTTGTTAGACCTAGTTCCTTCTAGAAGATCTATTTTCTTGTTTATCATTTCTAATTTTGAGCCTCTTTGGTTTAGCTGAATTTGGCTGAGAGTGCTGAACCTATTATTTACACTGTTGCTGAAATTTTGGCCGAGATAGGAGAAGTTGCTGAAATCGCCGAATCATGACCCCCCGTCCTGTGATTACACTCCACCATTTTCCTTTCGTGATTGTCCCGAATAAACTTCACCCTTTTCCTTTTAATGCAGCTGTGAAAGAAATATGTGGTTGATGATTTTTCTTTCCTTACCGCACAATCACACATATCATACATACTCCATTAGCTTATATTGTGTGTTAAATAAAAAACGAAGTTTGATATAGGGAATGAGTGAGTAAATTGACAAATTGTATTGATAAATTAGATAAAGTATATGAAGGCTAAAATGATTATCATTAATAACTTCAGCCGGATACTATTTGTAGACCTACTTTCTTTCATTATTAACCAGTTCAGTGCGCACAGTCAAGCAAATTTGTGTTTAGTAAAAAATTAGCTGATAAAGCAATGAGACAAAAAAGTGGCCAAAAATTTGCTTTATCAGCCAATTTTTTCTCAGCAAATTTACAAAACAGCAACTTTAATACTCCGTATATTTATTTTTTCAACTTGGAAAGGTCTATTTTGTTTATTTCTATAATTATGAAGTTATCCAAAAAGTTATACTCCCTCCGTCCCAATTTGATGATCCCATTTCTTTTTGGCTCAAAGATTAAGAAAGTGGTTGAAAAGGTAAAAGTTGTGGTTGAGATTTGAGTAGAAAAAGGTGAAATGATGTGGACCACATATTTCTTTCCAAAAAGGGAAATGGGACTATCAATTTGGGACGGCCCAGAAAGGAAATTCGGGATCATCAAATTGGGACGGAGGGAGTATTATACATCCAAGGTTGTTACTGACTTAGTTATGGTATAATGTCTGTCCGCCCACATGAAATTCATGTTGTCATTGCCACTTTAATCTCCTATTCTTGCAGTAGTCTTCTGACACTGTTTCTTTTCTCGAAACCAGGATGAGATGTTTGGATTTTGTAGGTTCTCACGAAGTAGTAAGAACCAGACCATCTACATCACTGCTTCACATGGTATGCATGTAATTGTGGAAATTTATTTCGTTTTTGTTTCCACTTAGTTTATGGATTAACATCTAAAAAAATAATGGGAAAATTTGACTTTGCACTCCATGTCTTGGGTGATATTGGACTTGCACCCATTTTTAAAATCATTAATATGTGCACACTCCATCAGCCCAAAAGTTATGGAGTGGAGTGCAAAGTCAAATGATTTTATAATGAATTGGGGGTGCATGCATTAATGATTTTGAAAATAGGGTGCAAAGTCAAATACTACGCAAAAAATGGAGTGCAGTCAAATTCTCCCAAAAATAATCACATGATGCGTTCCTCTCCACATGTAGGAAAAGGAGGAAGTATTGTGGTGTGGAACACTACTACATGGAAGAGGATGAACTCAAAGCTTGTTGTCTCTCTTCCGATTTCAGCATTTGATGTTTCAGCTGATGGGAAGCTCCTAGCAATGTGAGACTTGTTCAAGAGTGCAGTTTATATGGTTGTGAACAAGTCTAATTTTGAGTTTTATATGCTCTGGTTCAGGTGATCAGTGTCATATATAGGTTGTGTCGGTTGTTGCTTTTGCTTGTGAGAAGTGATTTATTATAGAGAATATAGAAAAAGTGCTTGCTTTTAAAAGCTGATGGTTTTTGGAAAGAAAAGTGATTTGAAAACAGTAAAGATAGAGTGCTGGTTAAATAAGTACCACCTTCGTCCCGCTAAGATTGTCCCATTTTACTTTTTCGGTCCGTCCCACTAATATTGCCCCATACCAAATTTGGTAAATTTTGTGTGACTCTAAATCATTCTTACTTTATTTTTTACTTTATCAACCAATATCAAACACATACACCACTTTTATTAATTTGCGTGTCACTCCCTCTTGTCCCATTGTTAGTGGGACGGAGGGAGTAATTTGGAAAAAAAGTAAAAGCAGTTTAAAGCTTAAAGCTTTTAGCTTTTTTAAGAACAAAGAAAACAAATGTTAATTAAGCAATTGCAAACACTCTTATACAAAGAAATTACTTCAGTTCTGCTAAGAAATATGATTTGCAATGGTAGGTGAAGTAAAAAGCCACACACCATTGTATAAAAAGGTTGAGATGGATTGATTAGAACAACAATTGCTTTGATTAGGGTGTTGTTTTGTTTACCTGCCATTGTAAATCACATTTCTTGATGTTAGTTTTCTACTATTAGAATGAAAATAATCAGAAAAAGGGGAAGAACCAATGTGGTAATTTTCTTTGCAGTGGGACCACTCAGGGTGAGGTCCGGGTCTTGAGTTCTGAAAATATGCGAGTGCTGATGACGGTAAAGAAAGCACATATGGGTATACCAACCAAAGTAACATTCTCCAAGGATTCAAGGTTCCTATAACTCACTATAAACCACTGTCTTTTGTTCCATAGGTTTTGTATATGTATTTTTTTTATAGAAATAATTCATGTGTTTTTAGGGCTTTGCTCTCTGCCTCAATGGATTCAAGTGCAAGGGTGACACTTATCAGGAACAATGACCATGAAAATAGTTCGTAGTTTGTTTAATTCTCATGTCACGATTTATTTATCAAATAATATCAGTATTATTGAGTTGATGATGGTTTAGTTTTGTGACATCAATATGTAAATTATGCAGTATTTACATTCTTTGCAGGTGGGTTCAGTTTCTGGATGGTAGTTTTTGTCATTTTATTGGCAATAGCTGTGTACTATGCAAAACAGGAAGGGAAGCTTTCATGGCAGCACAATTTCCCATTCAAGTTCTAGAGTAAAGTTTTACTGCTGGCATTACATTTTGATAATTTTCCGCCATCGCCCTTTGTTATTGACAACAGTTGAGGTTCTTCTCCCATTCCCAGGACAGTTGATTTATGTGGAACTGAAACCACACATTGTACTCTGTTCCTGTATGGAAACTCGAGGTGATGAATGGGGGTTGCCTCTCTTAGAAATAGATAAATAAACAAATTACACACTTAAAAGTGTAATGTACTCTGGGGACCATATTATGATGGGCATACATTGTAAGTAACAGTTATTAACCTTACAAAAAGGTTAAAGGTTATGTTATTAGATGCCAAGGGATTTGACAGCTTTATATGGTTGTTGAATAGAGCACTGTCAATGTATTAAAAGCATACAGTTACACAATACTCGGTACTTTTATAGAATTGCATTTGGCGTAATATTTGTAAACTAAAATCTCTATTTACAGTCAAACCAAACGTGGAATAGCGTCGCATAATAATTTCCCAATGATCTGTTAAGTGGAAATGATGTATAGAAACTATTTCCTCATTCTCAGTTTAATTTTCTTTTAATCCGTGATTATATAATACGAAGTACAAAATGGTGTATATTATTGTATTGCATTCTTTGTGTTACATTCTTTGGGTACATTTCTTTGTATCTTGTATCCATTCAGTGATAGAAAGTTCTAATTATTCATCATCTAATACATTTGTGCCACAATAATGTACACAAATAACTATGTACCCAAATTGCCTACCTAGTGTTGCTGGACTTGCTTCTGATTTCATAAAATAATTTTAACATGCTTGAATTATATCCTTAAATGAATATTATGCCAAAACAAACTTGTATAGTTATCTTTGGGTATTTATTTATTTCGTGTATACATCATTATAAAAATACAAAGTAATAAAATACGTAGTAATTACTAAAAAGAAATTTAAAATGACTTCACACCAAGGTTTCACTTGATATCATACGAGCTCAAGGCTTGTCATTAACGCTTATAAACACCTTTTAGAACAATTGACATGGGCCTTAAGTCCTTAAATGTGTACAGCATCGGTCTATATTTCATCAAATTTTCTCTTATAATATGTTTTAGTATTTGTTTCCTTTTTTACATTTCTAGATGGATTTGGAAATGTGGACTGTTTTCTTTTTTGTTTGTACATTTTCATTTTATCTCCCAAACACATTTACTTTCTTTGTATAATTTTTTTTTATGGGAAATGACATATTTTGGAATTAAATAATTAATCTACACTATGAATAGCTCAAGTTTTTTTTTGAAAATCAAATAATCATTTTATTGATAATCAAATCTTAACAAGAAATATAACAACTAAAAGCCGAAACATTACAATCATAACGTTCAATACTACATTAAGGTGAGACAAAGAACAAAAACGCCATATAAAAGCACTCATGTTCGCTAACCCTGCAACAATGTAGACTCATACCGCAATGTGTCTGCTCATGCTACTCGAAATGGGTTCGGCTTGACCAGCCGCCAAAAAGGAATTATTGAACTTGCTGGTTTTTCCAGCCACCAGTACGGAGTCAAGTGCAGAAATTGATCCGGTTTAACCAAGCATAGGAAAGAAAGCAATCTGTTCAATGTCATCTTCCTGGATCGGTGGTGGTTCAGGAGGGGGGCGACACAAGAACACAAGAATACATGATTGATAAAGAAGACAATACAAGCCTATTACTAGCACACAAGAACACCCGACCGATGATGACAGGGAATATAGATCTGGCGAGCGACACTTCGCCACCAAAAATATTATCTCCACACAACGCTAGAAAATAAACGTATAGATAGAACTGAAAATACTGGTTACACGAAACTTTTTCCATGATTAAAGTCAAAAGAAGGGAGAAAAGAAGGAAGGAAGAAGAGGAGACGACTAAGGTTTCAAACGGTAAAAGGGCCGGCTGTACCATGCGCACGGTACAGCCGGCTGTACGGTGTAAATTACCGTAATCGACTATTCATGAAACGTGCAAGGTTCCGTACTGGTGGCTGGAAATTTGATGAAGTCAATTTCTTGATCTTCAAATACGTATTTATTAGCAAGACGTACATGCTTATTTGATACGTATATGGTTCCGTACTAGCCAGATTTACGTATATATTTACTACTAGTTTGTGAACGCGCCATGCGCGTTTGACAAAATGCCCAATATTTTATTCGGCTTTGTCACTAAAGGTAGTCAAATTTATTTAATGTATAAAATATTTAATTTGTAGTCATGTTAGTAGAAAACATTATATGATTGTAATTATTGGCGTAATAAAAGATAAGGCTGGTAATGAATGTTGAAGTGAATAAAAAAAGAATAATGGATGTCTATGGTCAAAGGTCATGCATGTCTACAATAGGTTTCCAATTTTTATTTGGGTTTAGTACTCCTTAGCAAGAGTGAGATGTACGTAATAAATGTGAAGCAGAGAGAGTTTCATATTTTCATATAGCAAAAATAGATCTAAATGTGAAAAATAGCTAGTCATGCATTTTTGTATTCCCGATCAACTCGTGAAATGCTTACTCTAGAATGTAAAAGTATATCGGTATTTTGCCTATATGATTTGAAGTGCATTGGTTAATATGTATCTTTACCAGATGTTTACTCCCCTTGATGATTAAATATATATACTCCCTCAATCCCGAAAAGCTTGGCCAACTTGATTTTTCTTGGTCAATGATAATCAACTTTAACCAATGATATTTTTTAATAAGAAATTATTTTGAAGAAATAATTACGTAAATATGATCAAAATAAAGATGATTTACAAAAATATGATTAATTACTAGAGTAGTAATGAAATCATAGTAATTCATGTTCAAGTGTTGAACTTAAGTTACCACAACACTACGTTGTAGTAATGAATAATCATATTTATGTAAGTAAGTTTTATTTTAGTAATATTCTTGTAAAAAACCCTATTTTGAATATGAAAATTATATCACTACAAAGAAATTACGGAATTGGCACAGATTTGACACGGATTGACCGACTATTTTGTGACAAATAGCTCGTGCCGAAATGTTTTTGGCACAGATTTGATATATCTCTACCACAATCTCTGTCAATTTTGGGAAATCACTGTCAAGAATCTCTGTCAATCCCTTGTTTTTTGTAGTGGTATGAAAGTGTTCCTTATTCAAAATATTTTCATAGAAGTATAAAATTTTAATATTATATACTCCGTATAATTCAAGTATAATAATTAAAATCATTATCCAAAGTTTATCATCATTGACCAAAAAAAGTCACTATGACAAGCCTTTTCGGAACGGAGGTAGTATATTTTTGTACTAAAACAATATATGCCACTTTTAAAAAAGTTTTAACTAACATTAAAATGATATACGACATACTATGTACTCCATCCGTCCCCCTAACTTTGTCCCATTTTACCTTTTTGTCCATCCCATTAAGTTTGTCTCATACCATATTTGGTAATATTTGAGTGGTTAGAATTCATTCTTACATTATTCACACCTTATCAATTCAATACCAATAATAAAATTCTACCTTTTCTTAAAAACCACACCACACCCCTTTGTCCCAAACTTGAGGGGACGGAGCTGAGGTAGTATCTATTATCTATAGATGAAGTTATCTAAAGTTTATTAAATGCGGTTTCTATGAAAACTACAATCAGTTTAATAATTTGTTTATTTTCAGAGTTACTGCCAACAATATATTTTATCAATTTTTTCAGTAATATAACATTATCCCATTATTTCATTTTATTAAGGTGCATTATATTGGTTAAACCAATGCAACTTTGAGTGACTAAACCGGTGGCTAGCAGCCATTTTTATGGAATGCGAGAAAAGCTGAGGTGCTAGAATGGAGAAGAGGGGGTGAGAGGACAAAGATTCCAACGATTAGAAATAATGAAATGGAAATTAGAGCTAATTAAATAATTATTAAACAGACGCAGGGAAGACGCAAGTCATATCGTCAAACTTTTCTAATGATGATGTCAATGTGTTCTAACGTTTCCGTTAAAACGGAAGTTAAATGAGGTGAGATGTACAACAGAGTAAACACGGTGTATAATGACTTTATGCATTAAATGACACCAACATTTTTTTCATCACCATTATACCCCTAACAATATTCACTCTTATAATGATGTAGAGAAACTAAACAAATACGTACATGCTTATTTGATATCTCTTTATGCTCATTTTAAAATGTTGCACATTTTAAACATATTATACTATATTAGATTTACATATTGAAATGAATTGGAATTGTTTATAAACATAATTTAAGAGCTTTTATAAACGAAAAAAGTAAAAAAAAACGGATTAGAAATATGAAGCAGAGAACACTAATGCTCATTTTTAGGCTCCTAATACTCAAAATACCAGCTTTGGTACTCAACAAAATTGTGTTAATGCTCATTCAAGAGAAACCATATTTTTCATCAAAATTACAAAATTGCCACCGAATTTTTTTTCTATTTTTCCATTGGGCCTGTGACTGGGCCGACTGTACAGTGTTCACCGTACAGCCGGTGGTACCATATACAAATCCGTTGAGTACATGGACAAAAAACTATTTATCAAATAATTTATTTAGAGACACATTAAAAAGATTATAGTACCCAGTAACTTTTTTAAGAGATGGATGATACTCCCTCCGTCCCGAAAACAACTTCCCACTTTCCTTAAATGGATGTCCCAAAATTAACTTCACACTTCAATACTTTCCTTATTTGGAAAATTATCTACATCAAAAAAGTGATAAACAGTGCCAAACAGTGTTTAAACAGTGCAAAACAGTGCATTCTACAGTAAAGTCAAATTTATTTCCTAAAAGTGTGTGAAAGTCCAACCGGGAAGTTGTTTTCGGGACGGAGGGAGTACTATTTACTACTTTCGCAAAAAACTTGACCAAAACTACTTTACACATGAAAAAATAAAAAATATGTGAAAAGATAATAGAGATAAGTTTGAACACATATTTATTCTTGGGAAAGTTCCCAAAATGGGACTAAAAAAGTTTGAAAATTCCGAAATATGACTGTCATGTTTTTATTCCCAAAATAGGACTTATTACTGCCAAATTTGGAAAATACTGTCATGTTTGAAGTCTGGTACTGCCAAAACATGACAGTAATTAGTCCTATTTTGGGAATAAAAACATGAAAAGTCCTATTTTGGAATTTCCAAACTTTTTTAGTCCCATTTTGGGTAATATCTCTTTATTCTATTAAAGAGAAACCAAAAATTATTGCGATGACTAAATAAGAAAATGTGGTAAAATTTTGTGAGATGAAGGGTTGATATTTTTACAATCATAATTTCTAATTTTCTATTACTCCGCCAATTAACGAAAAGATACGAACGATATTTTTATTTGGATTATATTCAGTCTTAAATTATATCAGAACAAATCAAACCTGAATAATTATAAATACGACTAAACAATTATGAGATCAAATTAGATGAGATAAACCAAAAATTTCAATCCAATCAAACAATTAAAGTAGCGAAAATAGACTGGAGGAGGGAATACGTAAATAGGGAGGGAGATGTACTGCCAGGTAAAGGTTAATTGGTCAAGTCAAATCTGCTCCTCAACCAGACTCCCTCTCCTTCCGCCTCTTCCGATCCTTTCTCTCCGGCCTTTCACAATAGTCAATACGGAAAAGCTGAAGAAGCCCAGCTCCCAGTTGATTCGATCGGTTCCGGATCTCGGGTTGGTTTTTCTACGTTTCACACTCATCTTCTTTATCTTGTCATGTACTGATTTCTATCTTTGATCACCCCTTTCATCACTGTCTGCTAGCTAAAGGTGATGAAATAATATAAGAAAGTTAGTAGCTTTTCGTTTTATTTCCATATTTACCTCTAATTTCATCAATCACTGTCTTGTTAGTTCTAGAAATCTAGTCTAGGTATGAAGTCTATAAATTCTTACTGTTAATTCTCAAGATCGTTTATTCCGAGATTGTTAATTTTTACTGTAACTTTTCAAACCGGTTGATCTCTATCTCCTCAGCTGAGATGAGTGTATTATGATTGTGCTTTACCTGATTTCGAGAGTTCTCTCTTCATAGGTTCGATGGCTACGCAGATGAAAGAGCGCGTCCATGAGGTCTCCCTTGAAAATTTGATGGTGAAGCAAGACCTGACTCACGTAAGTGATAAGCAGCTGTTAGCTGAGGGGGCTTCTGTTGAGCTCCAGAACAGAATTAAGCCCAAATTTAAACCACGGCCATCTCAATCAAGAGAAAAGAAAGTTGCAGAACTTGATAATCCTAAAATTGCACCCCTTGAAATGAAGCAAAGGCAGAATGTTGCTGTTGATGGGAGTTCTGCATCTCAACCACGCAAAAGAAAAAAACAGCATCCTGCAAATCATGGGAAAGATAATGATGCTTCACAATTTAGCCAAGTTTTTATTGTGCCAAAGGAGGAGTCCGTTGGCACTGGAAACAAACATAGCAATGATGAAGGAAATCACATGTCAGATTCTCTCGTTCTTTCTAGAATAACTTCTGAAGAGGATTTGGATCATCCAAAGCCTTTAAAAGGTGTCTTTGATGCTCATTCTGATGGAGAAAGAGTGACTCATCCAGAAGGACTTGAGAAAGGTTTAGACAAATTGCAGCCTAGGAGGAACCCTGAAATTGGTGCTCATGCGCCACAGTTTGATCAAAGAAATGGGCAAGCCCCTGAAAAACCATCAGAAGATGGGTACAACTGGAGAAAGTATGGACAGAAGTTTGTTAGAGGAAATGAATTTATTCGGAGTTATTATAAATGCACTCACATTAATTGCACCGCAAAAAGACAAGTGGAGAGATCTCATGGTGGTCATATTGCCGAAATTAAATACATTGGTAACCATGAACATCCTAAACCTCAAAATAGCCCTCAGGTATCTACCATCACCCAAGATAGAAGACCCGACTTGCCTGCTTCTGAAGGTAACCCAAGCTTGCCGAGTTAATGTTTTGTTTTTAATTTTTTAGCTTAAGTTTGGTTGTGGAACAATATGTATATACTTGTTTGTTCTCTTCTAAATTCACACAATCTATTGCAGTTACGCCAGGGGAGAAGTGTGAGACTACTGAAACCAAACAGTCCCCATTGGCACTCTATGATGCAGGCACGCCATATTCAGCTCTCCAGTCACATAATTTGCCAGATGAGGATGATTACAGTACTTGCCGAGAACCAAAAAAGCAGTATGCAAATTAATTTCTTAAACTTACATTCTGACTTGTAGTGTACTAGATATCACTTTATAGTTTATATACTGGTATGTTTGTGTTTATGAACTGTCCGTTCAACAGAAAGAAAGTTTCTTCTAGCTGTGATGACAATAAGCCTCATGGGGAGCCAAAGCATGTTGTTCAGACGATGACTGATGGGGATATAGTAAGTGATGGGTACCGCTGGCGCAAGTATGGACAGAAATTTGTAAAGGGTAACCCATACCCAAGGTATATACTCCGTTTATTTAGTTGCAGAATATTTTTTAGCAGTTTTGTTTCTGAATTTTGGGTGCATTTATGACTTCTCACTTGGTTGATTGCATAGCTATTGACCCATTCTGAAGCTAAAACTCCCAATTGTGAGCAAATTTTGAAAAGTCAATTAATGACTATACAAAAGAATAATCAGCCCACTCTTTCCCATTTCTTTATTTGAGTTTCATGGATTTGATTACCTGCATTGTGATCGCACAAGTTTTATCTTTTTGTGAGTAATAATAATAATAATAATTCGCCTATTACTGATATCTGTAGACCCATCGGCTCTTCTCTGGTGTATTTTACATCAATAGTTTCTAGTTTCATACTTTTATAGTCGCCGCACTGTCTCATAGCCGGGCGATCTCCTTCCAATATAGATAGGCTGAGTATTATCTTTAGCAGAATTCTTTGTCAAACGATCCACATGGGATTAGAAGCTAATAGGATCCTAGCATCGATTGATGGTTTTCATGACATTTGCATGTGTTTGTGAGCTTCCAGCATTTTCTTCTTTTGTCTTTTTCAAAGTAATTGCACGTGTTAGTGGAATTTGTAGTACAATAAGTTCTACTTATATAATCTGAATGAAGGACACTCATTCTATCCCAGTCTCCTCTTCTCATTTCTTATTCAGAAATTTGGTTCCATGTTACATTGTTGCCTATATTTTGCTGGTTGATACCTCAACTTTGAGATGAATAATGTTGTGACATGTTCTGTTTCTTGGTTACCTATTTGATGATACGTGTGACAAATCTTTTCCACCTGTATGGAAATGTTTGACATTGTTGAAGTTGTGAATGAAAGATGGTATTAGTTGTGTGACTAGATTTCATATGGGTCTGTTCGGATGGATTTTGGGGGGTTTGGATGGCTAAGTTTATATCTTTAATAAATAGAATGTTTTGAAAATGCATAAATGATGATTGAAGTGTTATCTGATTAGCTATCATCATCATCAATTATCATCATCATCATTGCTATTATTATTTTCTTGTAAACTAATGACCTACTCCACTCCGTATTATGTTGTAATTTTGTAAATATCAATTACTCCCTCTGTCCCGCTAAGATAGTCCCATTTTTCCTTTTTGAGAAATCCCACTAAGATTGTCCCATAACAAATTTGGTAAAGTTTGTGTGGTTCTAAGGATGTTTTTACTTGGACTGTAATTTGTTGGTCTGGTCTGATCTGGTCTGGTTTCTTTGTATTTTTATAACTATCCAAGTCTGGTCTGATCTGGTCTGGGACGAATTATAGTCCAAGTAAAAACATCCTAAATCATTTTTGCTTTATTATTACTTTATCAATTCAATATCAACCACATAAACTTACTTTTCTTAATAACCGTGCCACTCCCTCCCTCATATAGACTCAGCCCTTCAAAATCTCCATTTAAAGAGACCCTAAGGAAACATCTGTCAGTAAGTATTCTTCGAGATTATTCATGTCTACATGGTTTCTTTCACCCTACCTAATGCAAAAAAGATTCAGTTGTCTCTCACTCTCTAATGTCAAAACTCCCTCATTCTACAGAAGCTATTACAGATGCTCGAACAGTGGGTGTCCTGCGAAGAAACATGTTGAGAAGGCTTCCCATGATCCAAAAATGGTCATGACGACATATGAAGGGAAGCATGTCCACGATATGCCACCATGTAGGGCTACTACCCTACAAAAGTCAGGCGAGTGTGTCAATGCCACCAATACAAGAATGACAACGAGTGGAGATCCAAGACAATCTGAAACTGTTGAAAACAAATACGATGGTAGCCTTGACATGGTTGTTTATGTTGGGGCCACCTGAGGATGCTTTGGATGAATGGAAGCAACTAATTCGCTTTGGTATAGATAATTTACTCACGGTTCTTCTTGAGGTGTTCTGTGGAGGAGCTCATATTTTTTAAACAAATTAATGAGTAGTGAAACTGGTAAGGAAGAATGGTTGAGGGAAGAGTTCAGGGAAAAAATTATTCCAATAATACCCTTAATGAATGAAAGAGTGTTTAATTCATCAAGAGCATAGGAGTAATAGTTTCATTTGCAATCCATGAACCATCCCCTAAACCATTCTCTCCCCATATATCATTACTCAATTAGTATGACTGATGACAACAAACCAAGTGTCATATTGTGTAATGAGTATGGTCTGTATGGATATATGTAGAGAATGTTCTAGGAAAGAGTTCAATGAAAGAGTATAAAATTGTCCCTATGCCCTTAATGAATTAAATTTGGCTTCCATTCATCAAGGGTATGATTAGAAGAAAATCATTATATTCTTAACCATTGTGTGAACCAGCCAACCATTCTCTGGCCTTTTAACTACTCTTGTCTTAAATTGACATTATGACATAATATACTACGTACCTGATATGAGGGATGCTCTGGCATAGAATCTAGCTAAGTTTTCTTGACCAGAAATGTAATTATTGTTATTCTGAATGAACATGTTGGAAGTTTGTTATAGTACCCAAACACAATCTATTTTAGTATAAATGTCTGTTTAAGTCCCCAAAATATGTTTATGATAATATCCTCAACGAATGTTTGACTAACTTTTTATGGTGGCAATAATTAAAGCTGAAATTTTAAAAGTTTAATAGAAATATGTAATTTGTAACTTTTTGTAGAACGTTAAGATTTCTATTTTCCTTTGGAAACAAATAAAAGGTTCATTCTTTTCTTTTATCAAATAATCAGCGATATGGTTTGGACTAATTTCTTTTTGAAAGCTCATATTGATTTTAATGCTGAGTTAATGTGCCCCCGTAATATGAAATGTTGGATTGTTGGAGTAAGATTATGTTGGGTGGTCTTTAAAGTACTACTAGTTTGATACTTTAATATGGTCTTGTAATAAGCAGACGCCAAGATTTCATAATTGCCCATACTGAAAAGGATTAGGTATACGCAGGGTTGTAGACTTGTAGCTAGAGGGACCAACCAAGACCACGACGGCACGATCCACCCAAATTTAAAAAATATCGGTATTTTTAGGGTAAAAATTATGTGTAAATTTTTTCCCAAAAAATAATCTTTGTATCGGTCTAGTTCGACCCAATGTATCGGTCTAGTTCGACCCAATGCTGTGATTCCGCCCCTGGGAATACGAGTGTATTGTGTGTGCTCATTCAGTTTGGGCGTTATACTCATTTGAGTTTAACATAAACTCATGTTTGAAATATGCATAAATATGACATTTTAAAATGAGTCATTTCATTTTCATTTACCCCAATGCCGCAAAGGCTCCCACCTACGGTGGGGTAAGGGGGGTCGGATGTACGCAGTCCCCCTGTACTAAAGCACAAAGAGACTGTTTCCGGATGATCCATAGTAAAAATCGCGTCCAAAACTGCATGGACTGACTGCTGGTTCATAAGAAAGAAGTGCAGACAGTTTAGTGAGCCGTTTTGCTTTATTCAATCATATTCTCAAGCCAAAAAATAATGAATCTTTGGTTCCATTGCAAATGATGGAAAACATTTTAAAATGAGTATTGCACTAATATCAAATGAGCATTCAAAAAATTCATTTGAAATGTCTACTATGCTATACCAACCATTTGAATATATTAAGTATTTGTGGTTAATAGATAGCTTACATAGGTAAACTTTGTGGTTGATATTAAAAATTGATTCGATATTATATAGACAGAATGGCTACGGTATAGATATTATATAAATTCACATGCATGGGTCCATATATGTCATTACTAAGAAGTAAGGACTCCAACCTGATAGTCATAAGTAAACTGCCAATTATAGATTCTTAATTACCTGACTGCCATAGTTAGCTGCCAATTTCAGAGTACAAGTCATCTTTCAGCAATTAGAATATTCAGTGTACAAATTCATGGTGTTCCGTTTGTCTTGTCAACAGAATCGGACATTCATAATATTATCTGAGTCAACATGAAAGTTGTCATTAAAAAAGTTGGCATTCACTTCAATGGAGCTACAGCCGGGAGTTTTATCCAACCCTCTCTTGGTCATCATCTTCCTCACTTCCCTAGCTTTATGCCACATATTTAATCCTATGTACATGTTCGCAAGCTGAACATAAATCCCACTATCATCTGGATCCAACTGAAGAAGTCTCAAAGCTGCCTTTTCGCCCAACTCAACATTCCGGTGGATTTGACAACCACAAAATAGGGCTCCCCAAACAGAAGCATCTGCATTGATTGGCATACTCATAATCAATGTCTCTGCCTCTTCTAGCAAGCCGGCCCTACCAAGAAGGTCAACCATGCAGGAATAATGTTTTGATTTCGGGGAAACGTTAAATCTTGAGGTCATTTCAGCAAAAACCTTACGGCCCTCATCGACTAAACCTCCATGCCTACAGGCCAAGAGGACCCCAAGAAATGTGACATCATCCGGTTCAAGACCTGCATCATCAACCATCATTCTGAAATGGGATAAGGCCTTGTGTGGATCTCCATGAAGTGCTAGGGAACCGATAACAGCTGTCCAAGTCATAGCATTTTTCTTTGGCATCTCGTGGAAAACCTGAATTGACTTCTCAAGATTGCCACACTTTGCATACATATCAATTAGAGCAGTCCCAAGAGAGACATTAAGGGAGAGATTGTGGAGTTTGATGTATTGATGAATCCAACAACCCATTTCATGAGCTCCTACTTGTGAGCAAGCGGATAGACAACAAACCATGGTCACCTCGTCAGGCTTAACATTCATTGCTTGCATGTCTTGAAACAAAACCAAAGCCTCTTTTCCACAATAGGCTTGCACGTATCCTCCAATCATAGCATTCCATGTGACAACATTGCCTTTGTGTGGAAGCTCATCAAACAACTTTCTTGCATTGTTTAAAAAACCAAACTTCGCATACCCAGTTATCATAGTTGTCCAAGTGACATGAGTTCTTTCCCCCATGCTACCAAACAAAGCCTTTGCTTTCTCAATATCCCCACATTTCACATACATGTCTATAAGTGAATTACACAGAGGTAAAGATACATTTATTGCATTTTCCACAACAAATCTATGAAATTTCACAGCAAGGTCTAAATCTTTGAGCTGCCCGCATGCTAAAGCCATTCCAATCATAGTGATCTCGTCCGGCTCAACTCTCTCAATTCTCATTTCCCTAAAAACGCTCAGTGCCTCACGAGGTTTTGCGCTCTTTACATACCCGTTAATCAACGAATTCCACAAAACCACATCTCTCTCACAAATTTCACCAAACACCTTCTCTGCAACTTCAAACTTTCCAGAACACACCAAGAAGTGAACCAAAGCATTGTGCACAAACCTATCTTGATAATGACCCATTTTTGTAACATGCCCAAGAATCTCAAAACCCATGTAGGACAATGACATTCTGCCACAAACCTTAAACAACAATGGAAAAGTGTAATTGTCTGGCCTTAAAGCATCATCAGAATCATTGTTATTGTTGACACACACTAACATGTCTTTATACAAAAATAAAGCTTCAATTGGGTTTTGGCTTTCACTAAAACCTCTAATAGCAACATTCCAAGAAAATGAATTTGAGTTTAGGATATGATACAACAATGCTTTGCAGTAATGAAGACTTCCCATTTCTGAGATAGCACAAAAGGCAATCAAGCGACTAGATGCCAATCCATTTAAAAATAGCCCAGTGGTGACCATTTGGGCCTGAATTTGCTTGAGATGGGCCATGCATTTGCAATGGTTTTCAAGAAAAGAAAGGAGGGGGTTCGAGAGGATGAACGAATGGGTAGTGCTCCAATTACGTTGAGTGGTTTGAGGTTTATGGCGAGTTATCAAATGAGAGTAGCAGTGGAATAATGATAAAGAACAAGGAGAATAAGTTCTTAATAAAAGACAGGGTTTCGATGTACAGAATTGTTGGCGTGATTTGAGGATCAAATGACGTAAAGAGCGGCCATGGCAATTACACATTCCCAAAAGTTACTGACTAATACCTGCAACAGAGAAGCAAAGATTAGGTGGTCCCAACTATTCCAAGGTGTTGGATGGAGTTATGGTATGTATAGATATATCTACTTATTACTCTTATAAATAATTGATTTACATATATTCGGAGTGTCCACGAGTACGTTACAAACACATCTAAGTATTATTATTAATTTTTTATCATGTATATTCTTATGATTAGTACGTCTTGATTTAGTATACATCCTAATCATGCGGGTATCATATAGAACTTTTGACTGAGCTTGCCAGAAGGGAAAAGGAAGCAGTCATTTTTCCTGATGCAGAAGATAATCTTTTTATGAAGGTAATTATTATCTTTTCATATTTTTTTTTTTGCAATCACTCTTAACTATTTATAATATCAATTAAAAACAAGTGATACATGAAAAGATCCTTTGGTTATTATGTGGATATTGGATAAGGATACACAATGTACAAAATAAAAAACTACTGGATTAAAGAGACTGTGTTAACCAATGCATGTGCAACTATCAAATTTAAATGTTTTATTTTTAGGTGACGAACTGACAAAGTGTCTTACAGATTTTCATGTGAAGTTATGTCATATTATACATATATGTAAAAACAAATATATGTAATTACAAAAACATATTGTATATATCAAGGTGTATAAGTTAACTCAAATATTTCCAACCTTCTATATTCAAGTTTTGTGTAAGCGTTGTTTGATTAGTTTGTAGGAACAATTTTATTCTATCAATGTTATATTTTTGGGTTTCACCTGTTCTACGGTTTGTGTCATGTGAGAACTTTTTCAATCATCTACTTTATTACAAAAAACTAATATTTCGTTTAATTTGTCAACTACTTGCCAACAATGAGTAAAAAACAACTTATATATATAACAAATAATGTAAAGAGACCTGACTATTTTTTCATAAAGTACTGTGGTAAAATGCTTTTCTTTGTTATAGTTTTATTTTCAATCTTGCAATTATATATATTATTCGTAACAAATGGATTTGGCCGTGCAATCAGCCATCGAAGAGGAATAGGAGACAAAGTGAAGGTGAAAATTTGATAATGAAAGGATAGGGTAGAATGGGGCCTAATGTTTCTGATGGGAGATTAGAAATGGAGGGTGTTTGTGGGTATATGTCTATGTGAAATTAAACTTGGACACTTTTTTAACATCTATACACGTTGGTGTTGTTGTCATCAAGCCGAGAAAATTTTACTATTTTTCAGATGCTCATTTCTTAGTATAAATTAGAACAAAGAAGGTAATGGCCCAATAAAAATGGAGCAAATAAAAAAAAATGTAAATAGATATACAAAAAAATGGAGGTAAACTTATTTACTTTGTTCTCATAAACAATCATTTGGTAATACTGGAATTGGAAGAATCTGCTCAAGTTACTAAAACTAAGGTGAATGGCAAAATCTGTTAAATCATACAGAAATAATTAAATATACTTTATAATAATAATAATAATAATAATAAGTTTAAGAAAAAGAGGGTTATATGGTCATATTCATCCAGTTAAGTTAATTAATTTGTTGGAGAAGCACCTCTAACCTTGCTTTTATCATTACAAATCATCTAAGCACGTAAAATCAAAATATTTATGTTTGATCAAATTTGGGGATGATAAGCGTAACATGGTTACCAAACGGACACCGAAAATGAAAATAATAAACACCAGTAAATGGTGCAATTTTTTAGAAACAACATTATACAATAGAGCCTCCCCACATACTCACATTTGTGGCAATAGGGGAATTTCTGTTTGAACCAAGTGCTGTAATAGGGACAAAATGGCCAGGGATTTGATCAGCATTTTCAAAGTTGATTAAGTACTTGACATCAAATGTTAAAAAAAAACACCTCCCAGACCACAAAATGTCATTAAAGTTCAAATATAATCATACCTAAGTTCCATATGAGCATCAACAACAACATCCCAAAAGAGATTAACGTTCCCCATGAACATGTTTTGATATATTTGCAGTCTTGAAGGCATTCCTGCATCTTGCATTATCCTCTCAAGGGTAGTTAAATAATCTTCATTAGTGGGCTATCACATCTTCCTTTTCAAATAATTGGATGATCACCATTAACAATTAAATCAATAGCAGCTAAATTCATGTGGCAGCTAGAGAAACCATACATGATACATATACCCTCCCCACTCATTCCGACAAACTGAAGTAACATCAAGAAGTAGGGCACACCAGTAATGGGCTCTACTGACCCTGCTTTTCCAGATTACCACAAGGGCGCAAGGTAAATTTCTCAAAATAACCTTCATAACCCTGGATATGATGCTATAGTATTAGCGAAAGCTGGAATGAACTGTGATAGAGGCTCTAAAGTAATCAAATAGTTCCTTTACTTGTGGGATTTGTAAGTGGATAACGGAAACTTCTTTCTCTTTGTATCGGTTAACTGGAATTTCTAACAAAAGTTTATAACTTATACTGAGCACCATTTAAGGTTCAAAAATCAAAGAATCAAACAGATTACCAAATGGAATTCAAGAACCATCCATTACAGAAACTAGACTAATGTACCTTCGAAAATTAAGCCTCAATTATCCCAGGATAACATAGATTATATAGCAAGTTTCAGTTTTTGTGTACTTAACATCACGAGCTGCAATTCCAGCCAATTCCAAAACCTGAAATGACCAAAATTAATCATTGAATTTTCAAAAATAGAAGTAAGTGAAAATTGTAATGCAAAGTGTTTAATTTATACACTCACACATATTACCTCAACTAATATCCTGAGGGATGCTATTAGCTAGGGTCAGACGTTTGAACACCTGAATCTCATGCCTCTGCTCTCCCTTTTCTAAACGGGTTGAGGAGAGTAGGGTTACTGCATACCTCCAATTCAACTAAAGCTGGTGAAATACGCTGTAGGGAGCAACCAAGTGTAAGGCGGAGGGCGAAACTGCCTTGAGCCCTGGTCAAATCGGACTGGAAACAACAAACGTGGGGTACTCAATAGATGCATACTTTTTTCCCTCCAACTTGAATTACGTACGGCCGTTTGGTAATACAAAAATGGACTGAATTGGTTGCTTGAAATTTAGGAAATTTTGACTAAATTGGCTTATTTTGCTGATTTAAAAAAATTATATTGAAATATATTTTATTAATAAAATAAAGAAAAAAATATAGAAAAATTTACACAAATAAACTACTTTGAACTCCACTAACTACTTTACACAAATATGACTTTTTGCTCTAACTTAATCCCATGATGCCCACACGTGATCCATGCTAAAAGTCACTTTCTTGTAACTCTCATGACTTTTGATAATATTTATGTAAAAATCTCATTTTTAGGATGCTAATACACACTCGGTATTATTCAAAGTGAGGACACTATTCTTCTAAAAATGAGCTAGAGAGGACATTATATCTAATTTCCCTCAACAATTACCACTTCCTTATATTTAAACTTTCCGAAATCCAAAGTTTATGAGGCGGTTTGGTAACCCTGTTTTTCGATTTATTTTTCAAATTTTTTCATCAAACAGTAATTTTGATTTCATGCGCTGAATTATGTAATAATAAGAAAAAATAAGGTTGAAGTTACTTTTTTGCCTGTATAGACTGAAGTTACTGTAGACGATCATTTCAGCTATTTTTACATATATTTTTGAGATTTTTACATAAATATTATAAAAAAGTCATGGGAGTTACAAGAAAGTGACTTTTAGCATGGATCATGTATAGGCATCATGGGATTAAGTTAGAGCAAAAAGTCACATTTTTGTTAGTGGGGTTCAACGTAGTTATACTTGTGTAAATTTTTCTATATTGAGATTTTTACATAAATATTATCAAAAGTCATGGAAGTTACAAGAAAGTGACTTTTAGCATGGATCACGTATGGGCATCATGGGATTAAGTTAGAGCAAAAAGTCACATTTTTGTTAGTGGGGTTCAAAGTAGTTATATTTGTGTCCTACATAATTCACTCCCTATGTCCTTAATGACTTTATCAAGTTTGATCGATGTGAAAAATTATAAAGTAAAAAAAGTGTGGGAGTTAAGTTTGTACAAGAGAAATAGAAATTACAAGAATTGCAAATTCGTTGATTAAAAAGAAAAGTGACAAAAATTTTTAGACAACTCAAATACGAAAATGACAAAGTTATAAAAGATGAAGGGAGTATGTGTAATGTGTTATGTGCATATTGGTCCATCATTGTAATCTAAAATCTCTCTTTATTTATATACATTTGGTAATAAAACTATATAAACAATTCTTTCAAGCCTTTCTAAAATACTTTCGTCGCTCACTTAGTTAGTCGCACCACCTTATCATATCGCCAAATCGTTCGCTAAAGGTCACAAGCGACAATGAGACGACCGGTGATGAAGATGACAGACGGATATAAAAATGATGACTTAGATGATCTCCTACGAACAATCGGCGACGAGACAATCATTGACGAAGAGTAATGATGAACTAAATCTCCTCTTTTATAATCACTCGAGAATATGAATCTTGAGATAAAAATGACAATTGACGTCCATAATAGGATTGACCGAAATCGGTTCCTCATCAATGGAAAGAATGACCAAGACTGATCGTGAACGGTTGAAGCAATGACTAAGATATGGAGAACTATTGAAACCACTTTTATACGTTTCTTCTGGGGATTTTTTTCTTACATGGCTCTCAAGGAGAGTATTTATAGAAAAAATGTGGGTTAAACCAAGATTAGGCCTAGTAGGTCCAACTACTTAAAGGCTAATAGATGATAAATAAAGGCTAATAAATGTTATAAAAGGCTAATCAAATAGACCTAAATCAATTTTTAATTTAAACTGCACAATAATGTGATTGTTACTTGCTAGTCATGAAATGTATGCGGTCCATTGTTCAGCTGAAATGCTGAATAATAGTAAAATCATGGCTCTAGACACTAGTCCATGTTTAAACTGTACACAAATGTGTCTATAAAATATAGACACATTCGCTATAAATGTTATTGTGGTCACTTAATATAAAAGTTGCACATTTGACCATTTTATTTAAGCTAAATATTACTCATCATTACCATATTTTTGTTGTAAAATTGATAGTTTGATAAGTGGGAATTATTTATCCTAGTAATTGAGATGCCTTTTTAATTCGTTATATTACTGGTAATCAGAGATGGACAAATATCCAAATTTACAATACCCTCGAAAATGTGTAAATTTATCATCAACCCATCAGTCCATCACAACAATAAGCAAGGAGTGATAGACGGATCGTGTTCATTATTTTCATTTCATTATCCTGCAGTGCACAGTATAGCAGCAGCATCAACTCATCCCTTTGGGACGCATCTAAACCCAAATCAAACCAAGGAGGGAAGCTGAGAGAGGCATAAAAGTTGGGCGAGTCTTCAAGAAGAGAGAGATGCGAACCAGTCAGAGAAAAGAAGAGAAATTATTCTCTCATGGGTTTCTTCTTCTTTCTCTACTATTAGCATGCTGGTCGTCTCCAGCTCTTGCTCAGATAGATCAGGTTCTCTCAATTCAATTCTTTGACATTATTCGGAAAACCCCTCTGTGAATTTCCTGTGAGAGTAATTATCGGCATGTTTCATCCCCCCCCAAACTTTACTTTCGATTAAAATATATTCGGGTTTATCTTATGCGTGTATAAGACGGTTTGGAAATGCTTTCTTAAATCAATGGAGCAGCTCAATAGCCCTGATTAATTCACTAGATGGTATAGTAATGGTTAGGTCCCATTAATTATTATTATCACAGCATAAAGAGAAATTATTCAAATGAGTTCTTGACTTTGGGTTTCTTTCTCCAGACACCATTTCACGTTTCAGTTGTATACCTTTCTATTATTTATTTATTTTCCTGGTGAAATCACATGTATCATTAAAAAAGATGTTTCCTTTTTAAAGGGCAGTCTTTGTGCCCCAGTTCTTGTTGGTCTCAAGCTTTTGTTTCCTTTCGGTGCAGGACTTGGAGCAATTATCATCACGGTAAGATTTTGCGGTTTCAATTTCTTGATTTAATTTGAATACAGTGCTGCTGACACGCATTGGACTTTCGAATGTGAAAATTCAAGATTGAAATACTAAGAAAAGAATTAGAACATACAGAAGTGTGCAATGTTCTGTTTACTATATGAAAATCAGTATTGTGTTTTCATTTTAGCACATTGGTTTTAGCTGCAGGATGAATACCTAAATGCGGTGTATATTAATACCAGAAAAAACTCGGTGCTTTTATGCTTGATTTAGGAGTCTTGACCAAGAGCAATCTGGTGTTCATGAAGTTCATTGCTCCAGGGAGAGAAGCCGAGCTGCATGGAAAGTTATAGATGAGGTACATTACTACATTCAGATCATCAGTGCAAAAAAACTGAGATTTTTTATGGGTTCCTTTATTAAACGAGAAGTTGAACTTGATTTGGGTGATGGCCTTGACGTGCAGTATTTGCTACCATTCCTTGAACAAGAAAAGTATGAGCTCTTAAGAACATGTAGACTTCATCCGAGTAATGACATTTTCAGAGAACAGGAGGAACACAAGATTCATGTGGATATAAATGATTGGCGCTGTGGATATTGCAAAAAAGTTTTCCGAGCTGAAAAGTTTCTTGATCAACATTTTGACAATAGACATTCTAATCTTCTAAATGTTGTACGTTTCGAGTTCCTCTCTCTTCTGTCATTTGTTATTTATTTATTTTCATAAACAATTATCATAATTCTTATGGACCGTTATGCTTATAATAATAATTATAATAATTATCTGTGAGAATGGTGAGATACGGGTTTTGTATTAGGGATAAATACCCATCTATGAGTAAAACTCATCACAGTTCCCAAAGTATGACTAAAGATGTTTGTTTACCAATTACCACCATATGGCTATAAAAGATTTTAAAACATGACATCCGTATAAATAAAGAGTATTTGGAATGAACATAAATAATACACGGCGGATAATTATGGTTTCATATTTGGAAAAAACCCTGTAAAGTTCATATTTATAGCAACTTAGCAAGTCATATTTTGAGAAAAGTTAGAACTTTTAGTCACATGTGAGGTAAATTTCTCTTTATATTACACTGTCTATTAAACACTGTCTGTCAGATCTGAAAAATTCAAGTTATGCTGAAAGTGTAGGTCACATCACTTTCTTATGATCAGTTTCCATCTTCTTCAGAAGTTAAGACCTATGAAAAGGCCAGATCACTTTTCCTGTCGGTGTTCATTGTCTATAAGAGGTTTCCACATATAGGACTACTAATAATTGCATGACTAAATATGTATTATTTTAGGCATAAAAACTTGCAAGTCCTCATAAGTTTTATATTGGTATTCTATCAGCCAGACAGCCAGTGCTTAAGGCCAGTTCTTCTTTCTGATGTTATTCTCTCATGCTTCCCCCTTTATATATTTGTACCTGGTTTCTTCAGTAGTCATTTTGCATTTTGTCTGTATTTATCGTTCTAATCACCGATTATATCATCTTAACATAGCCAGTTCATTAAAAAGACCAAATAAATGTATGTCTCTAGCCATATCAGTTTTTGGTGTTAGTAAAACTTATTATGCTTTTTCGACAGTCCTTTGGTAGTACCTTTTTTACCTTAATGTTCCAACTTAATGCTTCCTACTTCAGAGTCATAGCAAGTGCTTGGCAGATCTGTGTGGAGCATTGCATTGTGATCTTATGGAACAGCCAAAACCTTGGAAGACAAAATGCAACCCCGCTGCTGCTGCAAGGAATCATCATTTATGTGAGGTTGTCAAAATGCACACTGACCAAGTTTTTGACTTTCCACTTTTATTTTTGTTAACAATGCCTGCCTGCCTGTGCTCTTACTATGCAGGGTCTTGCAAACAGCTGTTTTCCAGTTAACCAGGGTCCAAAAGCATCTCGTCTCCATGGTATGTGGCACGCCCTATAAAACGACTGCGGAGTACAGGTTATAACAATTAAAAACAGCTTATTTTGGGTATTTAAGTAGCTAATTTTTCTTTCCATTTTGTAGAGTTGTTTCTGCGCCAGTTTTGTGATGCCCATTCTTGCTCGGGCAAGAAAAAACCTTTTCCTAAAGGAGGCAGGGTAAGGATTAATCAACTATCGCCTTTTCTGAAGATATATGTCTAAATTTTAAAAAATAGAGGAAAATAAATAATGTTTTGGATATTTAGGTTAGATCACATAACAATATGTTTTGGATAAATTTCAAAATACAGAATGTATAAAGTTCTTCTGTGAATGGTGGCAACATCTTTATAGGACACATTATAAATAAAGGTATATAGATTAAAGTCTCCTGAACATGCTACAAAGCCCCACGTTTGATGCACTGGAAAAGGTGGAGTGCACTAGATAACGTAATAATAAAATTGGCTAATATGTAATAAACTAAAATTACTATTTTTATTGGTATGATTTTGAACGTACAACTTGTAACTTTTAAAGATCATTACTTTTTTTTGTAGAGAATAAGAAACTGAAACCCCATTGGAATAAGAATCCTAAACCTAATGAGAATAAGAAACCATAATACTACTTAAACAAGATAGACTTTATTCAGTTATTTACTTCGTGCATACTTTTGACAAAAATTATACTCTCATCCAAAAAAATGTCATGTTTCTTCTATGAACATTTTTTTAAATTTTTTGTTGGATACACCACTTCACTCTTGAGTTTTGTCACTTACCAATCCTAATGGTTTTTATTTTATTTTGTTGTAGAATAGGCTTAATATACTTGACTTGTTTGGATCACTTTTCTCGAAAAAGAAATTAAATTAAATGCTTTCTTGAAGTATAACTATTTTTTTCCGGGATAGATTGAGTAGATCTGAAGTTTCTAGTGTACAAATAAGCATACAAATATGGACCGAGAAAAGAGAATATAATTCCTTATCTTCCACTGATCAAATACAGGGCGATTGACATACTGTTTTTATACATGATGCAGAAACATACAAATAGATTCTATTTGGCAGCTTCAATTTTAACTTTGATGCTTCTTCCTTTCTTCTACCTAATTGTTTACCTTTCTCAAAGGTACTATTTCCACCCTCAAATACTATTCAGTCTTCTTCATTTCCTCAAACCTTGCCCTGCCCATAAAGTGTTATGTTTTTGCTTGTAGAGAAAGAAGGGGAACTCAAAACTTGAGGAGGATCACAAAAGTTGGGAAAAAGTCAAAGCCTTCGTAGTGGTTACGTACAAAATGAAACAAATTTTAGTAAGGAATATTACAGAGGAAGAAGAAATGGAAGGGGCAAACTTAGCATGGAATTTGTTGTAACATTTCCACAAGCAACCAAATAACAAATTTTGTTTGAGAGATTACATTTGAGATTATGATAGAGAATGCTCACTGTAGGGTAATTCTTTCCTGCTCTTGCATGTGTCAACTAGTGTGTGTTGTAATATTAAAAAAATTACCATTTATGATGTAAAAAATAAAGAGCATGGGCTACTTTTCTCTCAAGTTATCCTTCTGTGTGTGTTGGATATCTGTCTAACCAGTTTTACCCATATCCCTCCAAGTTGGAAAATTACATTGTAGACCTTAATAAATGTAATGGCCATGTCGTACACTCGTCAGGGATGGACTTGGGCCGGGCGGCCCGGCCCGGAACCGGCCCGGCCCGGTTACTGTTTGAACCGGTCCGGCCCGGGAACCGGTCCGGGGGGCGGTTCGGGTCGGCCCGGCCCGGTTACTGTGCGGTTTGGGCCCGGGCCCTAGGATTGGCAAACCGGCCCGGCCGGTTCGGGCCTGGTTCGGGCCAAATTATTATTATTATTATTATTATTTTGAGTTATTTTAAGTTTTTGGGTTGGGCTGGGTATTTTGGGCCATTTGAGGTGGTTTGGGGTGAGGGGGGAGGGTTGAGGGTTAATTAGGAAAAGCCAAAAAAAAAAAAAGAACCGAGGCCCGGCCTGGCCCGGACCCGGGATTACCCGGGCCGGTTCCGGGCCTCCCATTCCTGAACCGAGGCCCGGCCAGGCCCAGGCCCGAACCGGAACCGGTCCACCCATAACACTCGTACACAAATAAAGTGTTGTTTTTTTTGTGTGCTCCAATGCACTCTTTATACGGTTACGTGGAGGTGAGCTGTACAAAATAAATGTTCACATTGCGAACTCCACTTTCTCATCCTGAAAAGCCAGTTACACTAGGGTTGGACCGGTTCCGGGCCGGGCCCGGTTCGGGCCTTGAACCGGCCAGGCCTCGGTTCACCAAAAGAAGGGCCCGGACCCGAACCGGTGGCTCCCGGTTCCGGGCCGGTTCCGGGCCAGGCCACCCGGGTCATAATTTTTTTTTTGCTTCTCTTATTTAACCCCCTATCCCTCCCCCTCAACCCCAAACCACTTCAAATGGCCCAAAATACCTAATCCAACCCAAAACTTAAAACAAATTAAAAAAACAAAAAAAATTAATTCAGGGCCCGACCGGCCCCGAACCGGCCGAGCCGGTTCACCAAATGGAGGGCCCGGGCCCGGAACCGGTATCCACCGGGCCGGTTCGACCCGAAACTGAGGAACAAGGAGATTCCTATGGTAAAGGTCCTTTGGAGGAGTGATCGTGTCAAAGAAGAAACCTGGGAGACCGAGGTCTCATTGAGGGAGCAATACCCTTTTCTTTTCGACTAGACACGTGGATTTCGGGGACGAAATCCCAAATAGGAGGGTGGGTGGGGGGGGTGGGGGGGTGAACTTGTAACACCGTCCCCAAATATATTTAATTTTAAGTAAATAATGTATTGAACCTTATGGAATGGTTAATGAATATACGAAGTTGTGAATTTTTATTAATTCTTTTGCGTGAATAGTAAATTCGCACGTGGGGCCCACACCGGGAGCGGGGGCCGCCCGATATTCCTGAGACCATATATTTTATTCATCTTGATTTAGATAATATTCATATGGTGGTGGATACTTCATTTGGTCCATGGAAAGGCCCAGAGTTGACCGATTGGTCAAAAGAGGCTCAAATACCGGTACTGGTAATTTAACAGATAAAAGCCCGAAATTGGATTTCGGAGACTTATAAATTTAAGTTGGGGAATGTATATTCATTATAAAGGTCATAATGATTAAGAACGCATAATATATTTTATTTGACCCGATAAAATAAAATATATTTAAAACTGTTCGAAAAATACAACTTTCGGGACCGATTGTACACATCGGGACACAAAGGGATGACCTCCCACATGAGTGGGGGCCATCCCACGTTTTTTATGCTCATAGTTGACAAATGGGACCTGCATTATGGGAGTGTGTGGTATGGAATAGGTGAGAGTGGAGGGTGGGTGTGAGTATGACTTGAGGTGGACATCACCTTCCTCACTCATTGGTCATTTGAGACAAAACCAAGTCTCACAACCCATCCCCCTATCATGCTCGACCAAGACCCAAAGGAAAGAGAAAAGAAAGCTCTACAACTCCATTCCCCATAGCCAAATTCGAGCTAAAGCTTAAGGAGTCCAAAGAAGGGGTTTTAAGAAGGAAAAAGTTGGGAGAAAGTGAGAAAGATTAAGGTAATGACCTTATCTTAACTTTTCCTTTATTTTTCTCCTACCATATGAGATATATGTCATATGAAGAAACCTTAGGATTGTTCCACATGTTATAAGTGTGGGATGATGGGTTGAAATGTAACTTTGAGTCCAAGAACGGGCTTAAAGGCCAAAACTATCGGTTCGCTAGAAAATAACCTTTTAGAGGTTATTTGTATTAATTAGGGTTTTATGATGTTAAAACCTTGTTAGGAACTTGATTGAGGTATTTCAAGGTCTTTCACAAAGTTGAAAGAGTCGCCGGAGTTGTCACCGGAGTTTATCAAAAGTCGTCGGAGTTTCGCCGGATCGGAGTTCAACCAAGAGGGGTAGAACTTCATAGCATTAATTCGAGGTGAGGATGACCGACTATATTGCTTATAATCATTGGGTTAATTTCATGAGATTTCCTAAATGAATACAAAATGTGATTTGCATGGATTATTAATGATTAATAATGCCTAAATGAAATTACTATTGATTATAGGTATAGTATGCATAATATACAAATTTATGAATAAATTGTGTATGTTTAGATGTTATGAATATGATGGTATGATGGTTGTATCAACCATGAATTTCATTTGTGATAAATATACTTTTATATCATGAGAAGAAGCCATGAAAGTATAAAAGTGATGTTTTGATATTAAGGTCAAATTATACATGGATGAAGAATTATATTGAAATGAGTAAATAACTAGTATTGAAATATTAGTTGAAAATGGTAGTTGAATAATGGATGAATTAGATCCTAAGAAATTGAATTGTAAAGAATCAGTGATTATGAGCTGGGCTCTAGACCGATGTAGGTAACGGTGATTATGAGCTGGGCTCTAGACGTAGTAGATAACGTTGAGTATGAGTTGGGCTCTAGACCGTAGTAGATGACGGTGAGTATGAGCTGAGCTCTAGACCGTAATAGATAACGGTGATTATGAGCTGGGCTCTAGACCGTAGTAGATAACGGTGATTATGAGCTGGGCTCTAGACCGTAGTAAGTAACGGTGATTATGAGCTGGGCTCTAGACCGTAGTAAATAACGGTGAATTGACATTAAATGAACGAGGTTAACTATAATATAATAACACCCTAGTTTGAGGGTCTTGGAAATTGAAACATTGATTATACTTAGTATAGTTGTCATTGTACTTTTCAAATGCTTCAAAGTACTGACCTCCCCTTCACGGGGGAGACCACCTCACAGTTTCAGGTAGAACTTGAAGGTTGCTACTACCGCCGTTGTTTCGGGAAGACTTAATTAGAAGAAGAAGACTTGATTCGTGCTTCTTCTGTTCCTGTTTTAAAAACAATTATATTTAATGCTCATGGATATTATTTTTTCTGAATAACCTTTGAGGGCTTGCCTGCCTAATTTTCCAAGTGTGGCTTAAACACTTTTACTAAATGTTTCCACTGCTTTAAATGAATATTTTACATTATGTTTGTTTATGGATGTACTATGTGTGAATGATATTCCAGACGCCTTGTATGGTATGGATGTGTTGGACTGCGGTTGACTATTCGTACTGTACGGCGGATTGTTGATGTGTCCGGGTAGGTCCGGGGCATGACAAGAGGTATCTGTTTAAAATTTTCCATTCTGTTGATATGAATCGAGACCTGGATAATGGACCCTGGCTGTTTGATCAGAATTTGATTGTGCTAAAAGCTGTTAAACCGGGTGATATCCTGATTAAGATGTTGCTAGATGAATTTGAGATCTGGGTACAGGTTCATAATGCGCCGTATAGTTTTGAAAACTTGGGAACAACAAGAAGAATAGGGAATCATTTAGGGGAATTTGTCACTTGGGATGAGCAAAAATTTAATAGCAAAAAAGGAGGCTTATATGCGTGTGAGTGTCCGAATGAATACCGTCAATCCTTTAAAAATTGGAACCACTCTTAGGAAAAGTAAGGGAGAAGGGCATTGGGTAGACTTTAAGTATGAAAAACTGCCAAGTTTCTGCTTTTGTTGTGGTATGATTGGACATGCAGAGAAATTTTGTCCCCGTCTGTATGAAAATGAGGGGGGCAAGCTATGACCAGACCTTTTGGGTCGTGGGTTAGAGCGAGTGGAAGGAAAGCGAAGCAAAAATGTCATGAATGAGGATGTTTTCTTTTGGACTGTTTTCAGTCCCAGATTAGATCAGACCAGACTAGACCAGGCCAGACCAGACTTGACTTCCGTAGTTATAAAATACACAGACACCAGACGTTTTTGCTTTAATTTAATAAAGCATTTGTTTTTTGTGGAAGGATCACATTTGTTTCCCTCCCCCCACTCTTATCTTCAATTTCTCCTTGACCAAAAAGCATTGACGTTTTTGCTTTAATTTAATAAAACAAATGTGTGGTGTCCATCTAGCCACGTATTCAGAATTTTTACATTGCCTGGTCAAGATTAAATTTTAGTTCCAAAATGTAAATCATATGATTGAGGATATTTTCTTGGACTAAAATTTGCTGGTCTGGTCTGGTCTAGTCTGATCTGGTTTGGTAAATGTCGGGTGTCTGTGTATTTTATAACTACGGATGTCAAGTCTGGCCTGGCCTGGTCTAGTCTGGTCTGATCTGGGACTGAAAACAGTCCAAAAGAAAACATCCTCATTCATGACATTTTTGCTAAAATATTACTCATAAAAATCTATGGATAAAAATGCGTCTAAGTTAGTATGAGCAATGTTTATAGTCACTATGATGTAAAGTTTGAATATTATTATAATCATTAATAGTTATTAGATCACATTTTTGTCACAACTTTTATTTTGATTATATATTTGAAGTTATTTCTTATTTCAATAAAAAAAAATTGAATAAAAAAGTTGAGTTTTTTTTTTCTAAATTAATGCAAGTTAAATAAATATTTATCAAAATAAGGTTGGGTTAACAATAATTCCCAAACTACAGCTACACTAGTTAAAACAAAGTCCTTGATTACGCATAACCGGTGATCTGACCGATCTCAAGGGACGAGTAGCAATTCAGATGGACTCCTCAAATTA